ACAGTGGGGGAGACCATGGCCACGAGGGCCAGGCACGCAGCAGCTGCTGCGGCAGTAGCTGCGACAGTAGCAGCAGAGAGCCTCATGTTGGCTGTGGTGTTGTCCGCTTCTCCTCGTATTGGCTGACGTGTCGTCCTTTCGAAAGCAAAATTGCACTTCTCAAAAATCAATTTTGACCTCCCAGAAGGACACCACACAGGGTTGTTGTGTGTCACATCAACACGAGTGTGTGTCTGTTGTGCCTCCATCCACCTCCATCCACCACCTTGTCTGTGTGTGTCATTTCCTTCCTTCCTTCCTTCCTTCCTTCCTTCCTTCCTTCCTCCCTGCCTTCCTTGTCTGCCTTCGCTTCGCGGTGGTCGCTGCCACGATGGAGGATATCGAAAACTTGATCAAGAGCGTGGAGAAGCGCACTTGCGGGCCCACCCTCAAGTGTGTCCAGATTGCGTTGTCGCCTTGTGTCCGCATTGTCCTGCTGCGTGCTGTGATGTCCTGCTGCGTGCTGTGATGTGCTGTGCTGTGATTTGGGGTTGTTGGCAGCCTTTCCTTGATGCCAAGAGACTGCTCTAAGCTGCTTACTTACTCACTCACTCACTCACTCACTCACTCACTCACTCACTCACTCACTCACTCACTCACTCACTCACTCACTCACTCACTCACTCACTCACTCACTCACTCACTCACTCACTCACTCACTCACTCACTCACTCACTCACTCACTCACTCACTCACTCACTCACTCACTCACACACTCACTCACACACTCACTCACTCACTCACTCACTCACTCACTCACTCACTCACTCACTCACTCACTCACTGTCTCAAACACAACCCCCCCTGTCCCACACGCAGGTGCAAGGCGATTGACCACGAACACTTGGAGGAGCTGGCCAAGGCCATCAGGAAGAACACCAACCTCCGCTCACTTGTGTATGCATGCCGCTCTGTCTTGTGGGTATTGCCGTATGCGTCCACTTGTGCACAATCTGCAGCCACCACGTCATTTCACCGCTCCTCGTTTTGCTGTTGCCGTCTTTGGTCTGGCAGGTTCAACAAATGCGACATCGGTGGGAAAGGGGCCAGGATCTTGGCCAAAGGGTTCACGCCCGACCACACCATCGACTCGCTCAAGTACGTGTTGATTGATTGTGCGGATAGTCATGCCTCATTTCGTGGTCATTTCACAACAATACACCTGATTTCCCAGTTCAACGTGATGCACAAACCTCTCTGCACACACACACACACACACACACACACACACACACACACACACACACACACACACACACACACACACACACACACACACACACACACGCATGCGCGCGCACAACGGTCGTGCTCGATGTTTCAACATTGCTTCCCTTCCAAATCATCATGCAGTCTGGGCAACAACAACATTGGCACGGATGGGCTGCGCGCCATCGCCAATGCCCTCAAGCTCGTCACTGGGCCCAGCAAGCTTCTGTGAGTGCGCATGTACGCATGTGTGTCGCAGCTGTTTTAGTGTTTCCTCCATGTGTGTGCGTGTGCGTGTGCGTGTGCGTGTGCGTGTGCGTGTGCGTCTCCCTCCCCCCTCTCTCCCTATCTCTCCCGTCCCCCCTCTCTCCATATGTTGGGCGCGCGTTCCCCCCTACGCTCTCTGCGTCTCTAGTGCTGATTGCGTCGCTGCATGGTGTGTCGCAGGCTGTTTGGCAATCTCCTCACAGCAGAGGCCGGCTCCATCCTGGGCGAGCTCATCGAAGCAAACCCAGGCATTAAACTACTCAAGTCAGTCCGCCTTCACGCACGCGTGTTTGGCTTGCGCGGGGTTGATTTCATGTTCGTACTTCATGTGTGTATCTGCCAACGGTGCTCATCAACCCTCGTCCCATCACGTTTGCTGTTCACTCATCACCGCCACCTCCCTCTCCCTTTACACCATTAGCGTTGGCCAGAACCTGCTCGGCGACGAAGGTCTGGAGCGACTGGCGGGCCGTCTCATTGGAAACACCAGTCTGCACAAACTCATGTACGTCACATATTGTGCATGTGTGTTTTCTTGGGGTTG